AGCGCTCTTAGGTTGGAGGCCATTGCTAGTAGGTTGGAGGCCACGTCCTCTGGTTGGAGGCCATCAGACATCTTGTATAGTTCCACACCCAACGCCATCTTCTGTAAAGATTGTAAAGGTTCTCGTGTAAGCTATTGCAGCATGTTGTCTAAGCCACGCCCAAAAGGACTTGTCTGGCTTAGACAACATGTTATGCAACTGCACACGAAAGGCACGATGCCATCGAAAGTAAGCACATTGAAAGGTGGCAGTGTTTCTGAAAGCTGGATTTCCTGGGGGTCAAAAAACTAATTGAAGTCTATGCTTCTGTGTGGAACTTCAATCTCTGAGATAGAGACATCCCGCATCAATTTGTTGCAGGAGACTGTGACCTGCTATCAAATCTTTGCTGAATACGCAGCCGGCAGGCAAGATTTACTACTTTTGCCAAACTGATTGAGATGATCAGACGGCGCTTTAGCTTTCCCTCCTGATTGTTGCTGCCGGAGGGGCTCTCAACCCCATGTGGAAGCTCCTAGTAGTAAGGCACTGGACGCTACGTTCGTAGCGTCCTTGCTAGTAGCGATGCACCTTGCTACTAGTAGCTTCTGGTTAATTCAGGTGAAACGATTCCCAAGTAAATTTCTAGCTACTAGTAGCTTTTTGTTACAAGAAAGTTACAATTTGTTACTATCACTCGCCTCCCTGGTTTACACGGGGTTGGGCAATCATTGGGCTCCGGGCGCTTTCTCGCGTCTCCAGCGCTTTCCCTCAGGCCACTGGACGGCGAGGCCCGCGTCGAGTGTCGGGCCGAAGTTGTGGAAACTTTATCTGTGAAGGTTCTTCCGTTCATCCGGGCGTTGCTGGGTGAGGAGTTACCATCAATGGAGGTGGGTTTTTCAAACGTGAAGGGCACCTGCCATTCAATTTTGAAGACCTTTAGGTGCCTCACAATCAAAAGCTATCATGAATGGTGGATCTCTCATCTTTGAAGATCCGGCTGCGTCCGAGGCATTGGAGCATCAGGATTCCAGCTTAGTGATGCGTCTTTGAGAACCGTTTTTTTGTGAAAGGAGTGCTTCATAGTGTTTCAGTGTGCTTCTTCGTCACTTCGGAATCAAGGCAGTTTGCTTCCGTCTCATCAACCACTTTCTTTCTTTCCCCACCTTCGCTGAGGTTCCTGACTTTCGCAGCCTACGGGCGGAACGAGGACACGACGCACTCGTGGAACATCGATGAATGAAGGTTTGGTGCCTCAAGTTCCGAAGTGCGTAGGGTCGAATGGTCCCCGGGTTCAAATCTGGCTACAAGTAGATGGTGTAGATGTCTGGGTATCAGGGTTGACCTTTGAGTTTCGTTGGAGGTCTCCCTATTTGAAAGCACATCCAAATCTGGCAGGAAAGAACACCTCCTTAGAGTCGCAAGAGGCCAGTTGGACGACCGCACCACTTACTACAACCGCGCGTGATTGCAACCCTTCTAGCGATGGCCTCCAGCCTACTAGAAATCTCCAACCGTCTAGGAATGGCCTCCAACCTACTAGCGATGGCCTCCAACCCAGTATAGTGATGGTCTCCGACCTAGTATAAGCGATGGCCTCCTATAGTAGCGACGGCCTCCGACCCCCGACCTACTAGTGATGGCCCTACTAGCGATGGTCTCCAACCTACTAGCGATGGCCTCCGGCCTACTAGCGTAGGAATGAGACTTCCTGGAACCCTTCTGATCATGGATGATGAATTGAATGATCGATTTCGTACAGAGAGCCATTGCAGTGGGATCCTTCGCAGCGAATTCGTGTTCGCCCACGAAGGCCGAAATGGACCACAGCGGGCTCCCAAAGACGGTTGGTGACCTAGCCTTTTTGCAGCGGGCTCCCAAAGACGGTCCTGTACTGGTACTTTCACAGCGACTGCTTCAGAAAGTCTAAGGATGGTGCCATCAAAGAGCTTGATGGGATTGTTGGCTTCTGAGGGGACAATTTTCTAGTGCAAACGAAGTTTGAAAGAATCTGCAGACCTTCAGGATTGGGGAATTACTTGCACGGATGACGGCAGTGGCATCAACTGGAATTTTGAGGAGGAGAAGGAGGCAGCAATCCTTCTTCGGTTGGAGTAACACTTTAAATTTTTTGAACCTCTCACCCGGCAGGTGTCTGCAGAGGCTGAAGCAGGTGGAGTTTCGAAACTTCAATTGTGAATTGACATTGGAAGAGACTCCAACTGAGTCATTGGCCAGGTGTGTCGAGTGGAATCGACTGGAGTGCGGTATCCTTTGAGGGTGTTGAGATAGCGGTGGAGGCCTAGTGATTTTCCGAGTTGCATCAGACCTTCATAGTCATTGTGAGCAATAGCACCCCAAAACATAGTTACATCGACGGCATCTCATGCTTGCGCGCGCTCTTTCTCTCTCTATCTCTCTATCTTTCTCTTTTCCTCCCTCCCTTCCACTCTCTCCATCATTATCTCTTTCTCTCTCTAATTCTTTCATCAGATCAAGAACGCATTTGTTCAAGCGCTTGCTATCTTTCTATCTTGAGCTGTTGTGGAAGAAAGGTGTCCAAAGGACCGTTTCAGGATTCCAGCAGTGTTTCTTTCTATGATCGCACTCAAACTAAGTACACGATGTAAACACAATTCACTTCGGGCAACATTCTGGAGCTCTCTTAGTTAGGAGGCCACTGCGCAGGAAAGAAATATCTTTTCTATACAGACCTGAGAACAATTCCATTTGTTCGCATTCTGCTCCTGCGTTCTAATCCAAATATAGAAGAGTTGAACAAAGGCCCGTCACTGTGCCGCCTACGCTTGCAAGCTTGAAAGCTCAGGGAACAGTCGATGAAGTCGATGGAGAGAGTCCATTCCTGGCAGATGCCGCAGCCAGCGGCTGAGATCTAAGCGTTCAAGGCGTCCAACGAGTGTCCTCCAACCTAATAGCGACTCAGGCAAGAGAGCTGTTGGCCCGGGAAGTGGCAGAGGTCGGGGATGTTGGTGATGTCAGAGCTGGGGCGACTGCGCACAATGGCCTCCAACCTAAGAGCGATGGCCTCCAACCTAAGAGCGATGGCCTACAACCTAAGAGCAATGGCCTTCAACCTAAGAGCGATGGCCTCCAACCTAAGGGCGATGGCCTCCAACCTAAGAGCGATGGCCTACAACCTAGAAGCGATGGCCTACAACCTAAGAGCGATGGCCTCCAACCTAAGAGCGATGGCCTACAACTTAGAAGCGATGGCCTCCAACCTAAGAGCGATGGCCTCCAACCTAAGAGCGATGGCCTCCAACCGAAGAGCGATGGCCTCCAACCTAAGAGCGATGGCCTCCAACCTAAAAGCGATGGCCTCCAACCTAAGAGCGATGGCCTCCAACCTAAGAGCGATTGCCTCCAACCTAAGAGCGATGGCCTCCAACTTAAGAGGGGTGGCCTCCAACCTAAGAGCGATGGCCTCCAACCCAAGAGCGATGGCCTACAACTTAGAAGCGATGGCCTCCAACCTAAGAGCGATGGCATCCAACCTAAGAGCGATGGCCTACAACCTAAGAGCGATGGCCTCCAACCTAAGAGGGATGGCCTCCAACCTAAGAGCGATGAGCTCCAACCTAAGAGCGATTTTCTGCAATTTAAGAGCGATGGCCTCCAACCTAAGAGCGATGGCCTCCAACCTAAGA